GACAAATAATATTGAAGATTCTTATTACTATTTTATCAAGAATCTTTAAATACATAGCAAAAGCACCAGATTAGATTTGATAGCAATATTCTAAATATGAGTGAATGGTAGACTTATAAATGTGTAAGAGATTCAAGCAATAAAAATTCTCCAGCACAACTCAGTGAATCAACTTTACTAGTAGCAGATGTAGCAATTTATTCAATATAGTCTTTTCAATTCATGTCAGTGTAAAATGTTAGCATGAGAATGAGTCATTCTCCTGGGGGTTGTTATCAGCCATGCTGATGGAAGGTAAAAAAGATTCTCCCAGATAGTTAAAAGAGAGAATTTCTTACTCTAGTTAATAACAGATTGTAGGTTATTTTTTATGTCAGCTGTCAATTTGACCTTATCAGAACCTTATTTGAGAACTGATGACATCAGGAAGGTCAATGAAAATTAAGAACAACATGGGTCCAAGGACAGAGCCTTGGGGAACACCTGCATCAATGCAAAATGATCTAGAAGATTGGTCATTCAGGACAACTTTCATTTTACGATTTGATAAGAAAGATTGTATCAGACCAAAAATTGACCAGAAATACCATAGCCTTTGAAGTTGTAAAGATGACCAGCATGCAAAACTCTGTTAAATGCCATAAAAATATACAAAGTAACTGTCTAAACGTCACCCTTCTTATCTAAAACTTGACAGACTCTTTCAGCAATAATCATTAACACATCAGCAGTTGACCTAGAGAAGCGAAAGCCATATTGTCTGTCTGAAAGAAGACCTTGTGAGGTGAGATGCTTAATTAATTAAGAGTTGATGAGAACCTCTAGCAAAAAAGAGAGAGAGTTCTCTGAAGGTAAAATCTAAGGGATTTTAACATTAATTTAGATCACTTGAATTTAAGTACAAGAATCAAGTTAATAATAATTTCAGTTTAAATGCTAAAAAATCAATCAATAAATATGACAAGAATGAATATATATATATATATATATATATATATATATAATAAATAGTATAAAATTACTGTCAAATATATATATGACATGTTTTAATACTGATGTCATTAAAACTGTTTGAATGGTAAATAATAGCGAAAAATCACCTATACAAACCCTTAGTCAAAAATAAAAACATGCATAAATAAAACAAAATAATTATTCTTAGAAATGCTTTTCCTACATATTTGAAAATATGTTAACTGTTATATTAAAATATAAACAAAATACAATTATTTATGTAAATGTAAAAATAATTTAGTAAATACAATGTATTAATTGTTCATAATAATATAATAATTCTTAGTGATAGTACATTAAATATTTATAATAATGTAAATTTGCTAAATAATACTTATTTAAAAAAAAAACTCAGCAAAATGCTAAATTAATCTCCTCACCCCAAACAATTTTTCTTAAGGAATATAAAGCAAATACTTATTTAAAAAAGGGTTCCTTAATTATCTACTTAACAATTAAATCAAACTTCATTTAAATAACAATAATTTTAATAACATAAAAGACTAATTGTAAAGGTGAGATTAACATGGTAACAGGGCAAAATCCCAGCTTCTTATCCCAAAAGTGGACAAAAACCCAGACTCATAAATAAAAGTCTCATATTTAAAAAGAAGCAAATTTAACATTGAAAATTCAAGGAACTTTTAATTCAAATTTTAATGTCAAATTAAGATACTAATAATAATATCCAATATATATATACTTACATGGACAAGTTATTTCATGAAAAAAAACTTTATTTAAATCCTTAAATCAGCATAATATATATTGATATATAATCTCAGTGGTTGTTTATGTTTTAGCACAAACTTTAAAAAACACCCTTCTTAAGGCTTTTTTCACATGAAGTCAGGTCTTATGGGATACTAGGAATCCTTAACTATGAAATATATTGAATATGTGACTGTGGCATTATTAGCAAACATTTTTTTAAAGGTTGGATCAATTTACAATGAATTTCTATAACAAAGCAGACATATAAACTTGTGAAATATTAGACAAGAAATATATCTTTCTTGTACATATAAGCATATATATTAGGTATTATTATTAATGTCTCAATTTAACATTAAAATTTGAATTGAAAATTTCCCAAATGTTCAATATTAAATTTGTTTCTTTTTATACATGAGAATTTTTTTCTTACTTATGAGACTGGGATTATTTTGTCCACTTTTGGGATAAGAAGCTGTGGCTTTTTGTCCACTGCTTTTTTGTCCTAGATGTGATTAACATTACTGTTATTGATATATTTTACCAAAATTAAATGAACTATAACTACATGGAGTAAATCACAATAAAAAATATTACATAGACACATCAACCTATTGATGAAAATAGACATAAATCTAATTTCTAAGGAATTCATAATTTACTAAAATAAATTTAAAACCAGTAACATAATAATCAAAAATAATATCTCTTAACCCACCAACCCTCTACATAAGACTATTGTTAATTATGAATTCATTTGTCCAGAGAGTGTATCTCTGTAAATAATAAACATATGTGTTTTATATAAGTTACAAAACAACCATTCTTTCACATAGGCTTATGTACCATTTATCTGAACATCAACAAGCAATTCAAGAATTACAATAATATTAGACAGCTTCTTTCTAATAATACTAAAATACTTCATAAATCTAATTGTAAAAAGACTAAACATTATAGAAGACATATACATCCAACTTAAACAACCCATTCATATATAAAAGTTCCTGGTTATTAAGATGTAATCACAAGAAACTAATTCAAGAAAACTATTAAGAAATATTTCTCTTCTGAAATATTACAATTTTCATTGATTTTTATAATATACTAAAGGAGAATAATTTGAATCTGATTTGAATTTATTTTTAACTAGCTTAAAAACTGCCCTATTGTGTGGCATTTAAGTTAGCTCCTGTGAAGGCCTCTTTATTGGGCCTTCGACTTGTTCAGGAGTTTGAGAGTCCTTAAGTCTTTGTATATTCTCAGCATTGGAAGCTCTCTTGGCTGCCATTTGTTCTGGGTTTTCACTTGAACAGGAATTTCTTTTCCTCATTGCAGCATTAGCTCTTTTGATTACAATCTTTCCCTCTGTTGGAGGAGATTTCTTTTTGTGTGACATACTGCTGCTGTATGCAATAGGCAACAATAAACTACTGAAGAACCTAAAATTGATCACTTCATTAAGTATTGCATTAATATTTAAGCTTACCTTTTAAATGTTCAACGATAATTCTTCTGCAGCCACTTAATTTAAAGACAATTTCATGTACATAGGTCCTTACTTTCCATACAAACAATTATTTTTATTTCATGGGTGACTTTCAATGGATTTAGCAATTAATTTCAATTATTTCCAAGTTATAAAAATTATTATTGTACAAAAAAATTGATCACAAAAAAATCACATAAAAATATCACCAAAAACAATTGCAGTAATGAAAATTTTTAATTTGCTCATGGAGTCAGCCTGATTCCAAAATGGTATGACATGTTTGGCTATAGTTTCTAGGAGTAAAGATGAAAAGGTGTGACACACTGATATTTGCATTTATTTATATAGATATAAATTTCAGCTGTAAACTTTTACAGTCAAAGATATAAACAAAGATTATTTTTTTTATCTTTTAAAATGTCTTTTTTTTGAAAAAGGAAGACTTAAAATTAAAAGTACATCCATTCTTATACAAAACATTCCAATCAATTTACAATAAAGGAAGTAATTCATGAAAGGGTATAGAAATATATTTCTGTGCATTTGTTCTAAATAATTACATTTGAGATATTTGCTGTGAGGATATTCATTTCCCGTGATAAGTTTTTATTGTTAAAAGTTCTCAGGGACCCTATATTAAATTTATGCAAATTAATGAACTGAAGAAATACAAAATACTTGACACTGAATATTGATAACTAAATACTGATAATTTCTAAAAGCAAATAATCATATTTTTAATTCACAAATTAACAAATTTTAAAGAAAATTGTTACAAATGACTTTAATTACCATAGTGATAAATTAAATGAAAGATATCATATATTTTTATCTTCAGTATTAGTGTATGAACATGTCTATCACATGCACACACAAGTTTGGATCAAATATGGATCGGAATCTAACAGAGTGATAAGATAAAGAACAAATAGGAAACATTTATCAATCTAACATGTTTCATTTTTATTAAAGCTTCATAAGAGAATGAGATATGGAGAAAAAGAAGAAAGAAATTCTGGTATTTTTACTTTTGTGCTGTTTGATTTTCATTGGTTAATCATGTTTCATATGCATTGGACTTTTTAAACAAATGTTAGTATAATTTATGGTATTTTGCATTCAAGGAGAGATGACATGTCCCTTCAAAGTTAGGCTTGGAATCTGTTAATTTCTTGAAACTTTGAAGAGATGTGCTGTTGTCGCCTTGAATTCAGAATGCTATAAATTATACTAATGTTGTTTAACTAGTCAAATGCACATAAGGCCTGATTAACCAATGAAAATAAAAAAAAACATAAAAATACCAGAATTTCTTTCTTTTTCTCCATATCTCATTCTCTGATGAAGCTTTAATAAAAGTGAAATATGTTGGACTGATAAACATTTCCTATTTGTTGTATATATTATATATATATATATATATACCAATATTATTATAAACTTATACATTCACTATATGGCTTAAATAGAGTAGCCTTTACTGTAGAATATTTCATAAATAAAATATTTTCACTTTAGGAAAGAAAGCTTTTAAGTATACAGTATTATCTGACAGTATAAACATATACAAAGCTAAATTAGTTCACTCTGCCCTAATTTTTCACAACTTCAATTATTACATAATTACAAAAAAATAAAATTGCAATATATATGTTCATTAATGCATGAGCACATACAAAAAAAAAATCTAATTTCTATCATCATCATCATCATCATTATCATACACATACATCAGAGCATCATTTGGAAAAATGTTTAGTAAATAACAATTTATTCTTACCAAGTGCTAGAGCCTCATCTTTGGTCTAGATTCTTTTAAAATAATTGATGTTAAAATCTGGAATGATATCCCACTATGGATTCATTTCCTCCCATCTGTTAATGGACATAAAAAAAGAGCTTCAAAATATTACTTGTTACCATTTATATAAGATTATATTTTAATTCAGTTTCAATTAAAGGAAAAATAAAAATTAGAAATTCAAGTTTTTATTTTCTTATAGTTTTAAATAGTCTTGACTTGTAATAAGCCTTATCTGTGAACCAAGTACTAAGCATTACTTATTAGTAAGGTACTTATTTAAATACTATTATTATATAATATTCTGAGAGAGCTTATTTTAATAATCTAGTGTGTATCTTTAGTTTGAGCAAAAATTCTGTACAAATTTCAGATTACAAATTAATTTTTAACCAATCAGTAATAGTATATCTTTTATAACCAATAAAGAACAGAAAAAATTCCTATCCAATAAACAAGCAGTTCATTAGGGTTTAGTTTAATTTCTGGTAGTTGCTTTTCATTCAAGTACATTGTACATGTAACTAAATTGACTTTCAAAATATTTCAGTTTTGGTGTTTCTACATCCTTCAGAAGAATGTATATGTACAATACAATACTATGAATCTACTTTAACAGATATATTTTCTTGCTATAGATCAAGTCACACATTGGATTTTTTCAGTCTACTTACCTGCTGTTTCTATCATTTGGTTTATCACATATATAAATTTAAAATTGAATTTTTTTTCCACACATAACCATTCATTAGACTTTATTTCTTTTTAGTGCACATATCATTAACAACTTTTATAGTTTATAGCAGGCACAATACAAGCAGTAAATATTTTATGGCAAAATTTAACATTCATCGCAGCAAAAAAAAAAAAAAAATATGGTGTGTGTCAAGATGAGATTTTTTCTTTTGACACTACTACTATCACTGTATACTCCCTCAGCAATCTTTATTTTTTTTAAACATTATTTGTAGAAATTTAATAAAACCCAAACATATAAAAATGGAGTTTTATGCATTTTCTTTTTTCTTGAGAATTGGCAACAAAAGTATTAAACACTATTCTTATAAATAAACAGTCTAATAAATAAATAAGTAGTGCTTAACATTTTTGTTACCAATTCTTGAGAAAAAAATGGCATAAATCCAGATGCTCACAATCTATTTTAGTGAATTTATGTGGCAAAAGCAAATGAAAGAAATGCCTGAAAATATTTTTTACCAAAAAGTGCTGTTGTGGATCAACAATAATTGGATCTAGTGAAAAATAATTTTTACACCTCTTGCCATGGAAATTATTGGCAGTAATATTGCTACATTGGGTTCATGTATACCAAACATGTCACTGGTAAAACCAAGTTGTAACTTCTTTCCTAGTCAAAATTGTGACTTTTTTTCCTGTGATTTTAATACTGGCCATGTTATTTTCTTAGTTTTCTATAACTGTCTAATTCTGACTTAAGCTGTTTTTTTCTAGAATTTATAAATTCAACACTCAAAACAAATTATTAGAATGAATGCTGGCTTCTGTTACTATATACAATACTATTAATCTTGACTAACTGTTTATAGATTCAGTATACTCAAAAGTTTTGTGATTCTATTATTGCCATTCTATTAGGAACATTAGTGACTATAAGGTTTAGGAACATTTAGGATGCTATTCTTAACACCGACTTTGATCACAGCAACTAAGAAGATGAGTTTGAGTTCAGATTGAATTAGATTCTCCTAGATGAGCAGTAAAACTCTTGAGGATCAGAAATTGGCCACTAATCTCTCTTCTGATCTAGCATTAATTTCCCAATGGGGAAAAACCTACTGCCTGGATGGATGTCACCTTGAATCAAGTTGACATCCATTCATTATCAAGGAAGCACCATGCCTTGGGAAAATATTGGGCCTGAAACTCACACCCAATCTCAAGTGGTATTCTTATATATGATCTATCGGAAAAGATGCAGGTAAAATGATCAGCTCCCCATACTGCTCCAGTAATCACCTGACTCCTCATGCTATCCTCTACCTTTATAAGAGCCAGATCAGGCTGAAAATGTAGTACTGTTGCGATATTTAGGCAGGAGCTGCTCCGACCTCACTTTCCAGCCTTGATAGAATTCAAAAGCATTTCCAAGCACTTGTTGAAGAAGTCTTATTTTCCACCCTCCAACCTCTCTCTCACAGGTGGGATGTGGCAAGTCTCTCACTGCGCTATTGCTACTACCATGGAAAGTGCTCAGGTGAACTACATTCCTTGGTTCCATCAGGTCTACCCTTCATGGCTCGGACCTGCCATGCTACTTACATTGTAGCAAACTATCCATATTCCCTTGGTGAGAAGTTCCACTTGATCAGCTTCTTCCCACAAACAACTGATCTGTGGAACAGACTCCCAAAAAGATGTTCCCCCCAATCTTACAATCTTAACCTGTTCGCGTCTAGAGAACTCTCCCACCTATTCATATAAACTACCCCTTAACATAATCCTCTACCTCAAGTGACCCCCAAGCCTTGTACAGGGTGAAGTTCTAACTTCACTCACTGTATTTGCAATAAATATATAAGGATGAAACAGCTTCTCTAGCATAGAAGTAAGAGAAGTAAGAATATATAAGGATGAAACAGCTTCTCTAGCATAGAAGTAAGAGAAGTAAGAATATATAAGGATGAAACAGCTTCTCTAGCATAGAAGTAAGAGAAGTAAGAATATATAGGATGAAACAGCTTCTCTAGCATAGAAGTAAGAGAAGTAAGAATATATAAGGATGAAACAGCTTCTCTAGCATAGAAGTAAGAGAAGTAAGAATATATAAGGATGAAACAGCTTCTCTAGCATAGAAGTAAGAGAAGTAAGAATATATAAGGATGAAACAGCTTCTCTAGCATAGAAGTAAGAGAAGTAAGAATATATAAGGATGAAACAGCTTCTCTAGCATAGAAGTAAGAGAAGTAAGATATATAAGGATGAAACAGCTTCTCTAGCATAGAAGTAAAGAAAGTAAGAATATATAAGGATGAAACAGCTTCTCTAGCATAGAAGTAAAGACTGTTAAGAATATATAAGGATGAAACAGCTTCTCTAGCATAGAAGTAAGAGAAGTAAGAATATATAAGGATGAAACAGCTTCTCTAGCATAGAAGTAAGAGAAGTAAGAATATATAAGGATGAAACAGCTTCTCTAGCATAGAAGTAAGAGAAGTAAGAATATAAGGATGAAACAGCTTCTCTAGCATAGAAGTAAAGAAGTAAGAATATATAAGGATGAAACAGCTTCTCTAGCATAGAAGTAAGAGAAGTAAGAATATATAAGGATGAAACAGCTTCTCTAGCATAGAAGTAAGAGAAGTAAGAATATATAAGGATGAAACAGCTTCTCTAGCATAGAAGTAAGAGAAGTAAGAATATATATAAGGATGAAACAGCTTCTCTAGCATAGAAGTAAGAGAAGTAAGAATATATAAGGATGAAACAGCTTCTCTAGCATAGAAGTAAGAGAAGTAAGAATATATAAGGATGAAACAGCTTCTCTAGCATAGAAGTAAGAGAAGTAAGAATATATAAGGATGAAACAGCTTCTCTAGCATAGAAGTAAGAGAAGTAAGAATATATAAGGATGAAACAGCTTCTCTAGCATAGAAGTAAGAGAAGAACAGTGATAACTGAAACTGCTAACAAGATTTTTTTCAAACTGTTAAAAAACACACTAAATAATATAGCATTATATTTATTGGTGCAGAAAGTGCACTCAGCGAATCAAGTTTAAATTCCAGCATAGCCTGTTGCATTCACTTTACACAACTACTCTTGAGAAAGTCTAGTGTTAAATCTATCTCTTTCCTCATCCACCACCCCCATCTATGGATTAAATAGTAGAGAAAACCAGGCTTTTTAGCTGTGGGTAGAAGATAGTCTAACTACTGTGATGTCAAAAACTTTAGAGGAAGCAATGGAAAACTACTTTGTTATCTTTCCCAAGAAATCATGGTAATTCAGTGATAATAAACAAATGGAACTTGTGAAGAGCCATGATTGTCTTTGTCCTGAACAGAGATGGCATAAAAAACACAGACATGCACATATAGCCTAATTACATTTTTTAAAAACTGTTTTCTAAAATCCTAGTCAAGTACATATCACAAATTATGAACAAAAAATGGAGGAGCTTAATCAGATGTTAAAACGGGGCTAAATCAGATGTTATTATCTTGTAGGTAAGAATAATTGTCTGTTTGATTATTCTTACCCATAAATACAAGAAAATAACTTCCTAGACAAATTTAAATCAACATTAAACAAATTATGACACCACACATATAAACATACACCATACATGCATAATGGCCGAACACACAAATCAGTCCACACACACACACACAAATATGTATGGAGAACAAATATATTCCCACATATTGGCAAAAACAAACACTAGATGGACCACGTGCTCACAAACAAACCCTACAATGTGTGCGTGCATGTGTATACACTATTTCCTTGTAATAAAACAAAATATATGTATGGAGAAGGATTATGTATACACATACTACCAAAAAAAACACACACACACACACAGTACACAAAAATGGAGTTAGGTTTATAAAGATAAAGAGGTCATAAAAAGCTAAGAACAAAGACCTCCTTCCTTCTTTCTAGGACCAATCCTAATTGTTTTATTACCCCTTAAACAGAACAATATTTTCTTCACAAATTCAAGAATAATTTGGATTACTACTACAAACAAAAGACAATGGTTACACATGAGAAAGCATAAGGAAAAAATTAATTCCTTTAAATAACATGTGAAAATAACCATTCTTCAACTTGATAAAGGTCACAAAACCTGAAACACATGCAGCAAAAAATATGGAAAATAAAGTATAATATATATTTTAAAAAATACACATTATAACCAAAAACGTTTGTAGCCTCTCTTTTCTCTTTAATATATATATATATATATATATATATATATATATATATATATATATATATCTATTATATCT